GTTTTCAATAAATCTACCATAGTCTTCATTCATGCAAAATCGAAGGGACACGCAGACTTTTCGCTTCAGTCGAGGATACTACTCCACCCCCCTCCCCCCACACTCTCTATCTGAAATCCAGGTGAAATTAATCTGATATACGCTTCCCTGTTCCATTTATGCTTTCGTCATCCTCTTCACCCAATTTCACCCACACCATATACCAGTCCCTGGGAATAAAACGAAACAATGAATGATAACACATATCTACAATCAGAAAAAAAGATAAAAATTGAAAATCTTAAACTTCTTCTTCTTCCGAGTCGACAATCATATTCTTGATCTGCTCGGCATCCATCTTGGGCATGCGCAGAGGCCCGTGCAGACCGTGGTACATGGCAGCGGGTCCCTTCGCCTTCACCCGCAGGTAGATGAGCGAGCCAGCCAGGGCCATGATGACGAAGATGGTGGCGTTGTGCCATGTGAAGAGCATCGTCACCACCATCATCTGGCCGTGGTCCTCTTGGTCCCACGTCGGGCCCCACGGAGAGTATAGGATGAAGCCGATCTGGTAGAACCAAGTGCCCTGCAGGTGGTTATAAAAAGGGGTTGTGAGGTAAGGACTTGTGGTTATGAGATTATCGGTACTGTGTTTTAAAAAGACGTGACGTCCAGATATAAAAGAATACACGGAATAAAAAAAAATCGTATAATTCATATAAAGGTAAAGACCACCCCATTTGGGCGAATGCATAGGAATAATGAGATTCGCTGAAAGGGCAAAGTTTAACTGGAATCCTATGGAGCCAGGGGGGAAAGAATGAACTTTGATCAGCGTGTATTGACACACACACACACACACACACACACACACACACACACACGCACGCACACACACACACACACACACACACACACACACACACACACACACGCACGCACACACACACACACACACACACACACACACACACACACACACACACACACATATATATATATATATATATATATATATATATATGCATAACAATCAGCATAACATCACAATCAAATGAACGTTGAACATCGTGACCTGCAGAAGCGTGAAGTAGCTCCGACAGAGAGCGGGCAGAACGTTGTTCTTGTAGCACATCTCCAAGGCTGTGGACACCGCGCAGGCCAACACGACGTAGAACAACAGCATATGGACCTGTGGATGGGGACGCCTTGTTTATTGAAGATTTATAGACAAAGATAGAGAGAGAGAGAAAGAGAGAGAGAGAGGAGGGGAGAAGGAGAGATAAGGGGCGAAAGGGGGAAAAGAAGAGGGAATGAGAGAGAGAGTTGGGGGATAAAGATAATGTGAGGAAGAAATGGGGAAGGGAGACGAAAAGAAACAAATAGATGAATACGTAATCAAGAAAAATAAAGAACAAACACACATACAAGCAAACATATAGAGCACCTATGTGTGTACACCACCCACACACATTATATATATATATATATATATATATATATATATATATATATATATATATATATATATATATATATATATATATATATATATATATATGTATATATATGTATATATATACATATATATATATATATATATATATATATATATATATATATATATATATATATATATATATATATATATATATAAATATATATATATATATATAAATGAGCGTCAGACTCAGAGATTGTCACGACAATCAGAGTTCGAGAGTTCGAGCCATCACCGGCACGTTAGTCCCCTGGACAAGGAACCTGAATTACTTACAGGTAACCTGATCGGGGATACCGTGAAGCCACGGTTAGCAGGTGGTGGATTTGGATTTCAAGCAAGAGTGATGCTGAGCAGAGGATCACCCGTCTATTATAGACACTGCTACTGAAGGAAGCAACGAAAACCTACTTTAATAGCACTCCCTATTATTGTTATAATGATAACAATAATAATAACAACAATAGTATGCCTCACCTGCACGTCCATGTGACTCCGGCCATGCAGATGGTAGTAGAAGAGCAGCGCCTCCATGCTGAAGGCCAGGATGGCGGACACGTAGTCCATGTCGGGCGGCACAGGGATGCGGTAGTGCGTGAGGACGTCCATGACTCCGTTCAGACCGAAGAAGAAGAACATGGTCATGTGTTGCGCGTTCCCGATGTGCGTGAATTTGCCCTCGTCGAAGGCAGTGGCGAATTCACCTGTGGGAAGGAGGGTTCAAGTTAGCGAGGGCGTGGCGAAGGGGCGTTGGAAAAAGGGGCGTCGGGATAGGGGCGTGGGGAAAGGGGCGTGGGGAAAGGGGTGTTGGAAAATGGGCGTGGGGAAATGGGGGAGGGAGAAGGTATGGCGCGGTTGTCAGTATTGGTGTGGGCTTGTGACTTGTTTTTGTTGTTGTTGGTCGTGGTGGTATTGTGGGGTTGTTAATTGAGTTTTGGGTGCTCGTTCTTTCGTTCTCTCTCTCTCCCTCTCTCATTATTATATTATTACTATCATTATTATCATTACTATTATCATTAT